CATGGCATGGCCAGGAAAAAAAAAAAAAAAAAAAAAAAAATCAAAGCTGCAATAGAATGTCAATTTTATACAGCCATTTTTTAGGCATATTGTTTTACATTTCTTCAGAAAGGCAAGCAAAGTACCTCCTATGTGCAAATAACAGATTTGATGAAAGTACTACACTTCCCAAAAAAGTAGTTCAAATAATTTTATAAAGGGGGAAATTATTAGCTGAAGTGCTAAGGTTGTGGTGGGCAAACTAATATTTAAAACAGTTATAAAATAAGTCAATACTTACAGATATATAATGTCTGAATACGTAATTGATTTTGCCTGCACTGCTTTTTGATACAAGTTGTCGGTGAAACTTATAAAACTCCTCAGAGCCAATCTCAGAGTAGAAAATAACCACTGAGCTTTCAGGATTAGATGAGGGATATCTGTGATCTCCTTTGAACAATAAAGGTTTTGGTCTGAAAATAAATATTAAAAGCTTAAAATTGTTAACTTAAAAAAGCTTTTAAACATTAAAAACAGTACAAAATGAAGCTACAGCAATGATAATTTAAGCAAACATTATAATCATCTTAAATAGTTTTCAGTTAGTAAAAAATACTGAAAACAAAACAGGTATGAATCTTATTTGTTCAAAATTAACGAATGTACATTATATAAAGACTAATCTTAAAATGTAGACTTTGACTAATAATTGTTACCAATTTCTAGAGCAGGGGGTAAAAAAGCCAGAAAAAGGATACACATCCAGCCTTCAGAGTACTAAAACTTTAGTAAATTATTCTACCATATAAATAGAATGTAATTACCTTTTTACCTGAAGACCTAAGTGCAAATAATGCAAAAAAGCAGAGGATAAATCTAAGCGTATAACTTCCCAATTACAGCATCTCCCTCCTCTATCATTTTTACTATTATGATCATCCTACTACTGCATATAAAATTTAGGTTATCCTCATAAATTTTAAAACTCTCCCCTCAAGCAAACTTCTCTAAGAATGACATCAAGATATTAGCAGATCTTAATGCACAGACTTTATGACCTACCAATCCTTCTTAAGGAGGTATACCTACACGTACTAAGTGGAAAATGCCCCTTATAAAAATAAACCTACCTACCTGTATAAATTTATAACCACAGAAAAAAGTATAAAAGGATATATGCCAATCCATTAAAAATAGTTACCACCTCTCAGAAGAGGAGACATTATCACTCTTTTCTTTATAAAGGTCTACATTATTGTAACAAATTAAAGAAAGAATTTTTCAAGTCAGTCAATTTTGTTTTCCCCAAGGAAACAGCACTTTACTCTGCAGCCAATTTTGAATGTCCATACCTCACCCCAAGACAGCTGAATGCTCACTGAGTTTCTGGTTATCACCCTGAGGAAAAAGCACTCACACCATTTGGTGGGCAGAGGACAGGTGCTGAGCAGATAATCTCACTAAAGAAGAATTTCCCCACCTAAAACACCGCCTGGCACTTCTGGTAGAGCAGGGCAATACCAGAGAGAGAGATCACTGTTACACAATTTCTAACAGCATTGGAGGATGTACAGATGGGTTACTGCCCTAGGCAGACAGCAAGAGGTACCTATTGTTATTTGTCCAGTACAGGAAACCTACCTTTAAGCAAAAAAATCAGCCCACTGATTACCAATTTAATATTCAAATTAAGCTTGCAATTATATTAAATAGTCTCCTTTGCCTGAAACTAATACTACCCTGAGAGATCATTATCATTAATATCATTACTCCAGGCACTGGCTTTAAGCTGATGACAAAGCCTATGTAATCTCTCTGTTACAGTCATTACTAAGTAACAGTAACAGTAAGTACTCTTATTATCTCTATTTCGAAACAAGATGAGGAAAGAAAGGTTATGTAATTTGCCTAAATTCACAAAACTATTTTAAGTGATGGAGCTGGGATTTAAAACTAGTTGGTTCTGGTTCCAGAATTCACATTCTAAACCACTATACCTAAGGACTAAAGAACCCATAAGAAAAATCAGACGGTGGACCTGATATAGAAGAAAGCACAATGAATGCATGACATTTAAATAAAGAAACACACAATCTACCTTTCAGAAGCTGTTAGTAGAAGAGTCTCAAGGGTATCAAAATCACAAGTCCTCTTTCCATGCACTGAAAAAAACGAACTACATCCTTCTGGTGGAGGTTCATCAGCTGCTATCTGTCATTTAAGACACAGACATTTTAAAAAATAATCTCTAACCAAAAACAAGATAAAAACATGAATATTCTAAATAGGTAATAAAATAATAATAAAACAACATCAGTAAAAGCAGAAATTAACATCTATCGAACACCCATTATGCGACAGAAAGAGCTTTATGTTTCACTGCTTTCTTTGTATTATTTCATCTAGTTCCTCCCAATATCATTCCATGAGGTAGGTGTTATTATTATCCCCAAAACAGAACTTTAAAATTCTACCTCAGAAGATATCAAAAGATATCCAGGGGGGGACTTCCCTGGTGGCGCAGTGGTTAAGCATCCGCCTGCCAATGCAGGGGACACGGGTTTGAGCCCTGGTCCAGGAAGATCCCACATGCCGCGGAGCAACTAAGCCCCTGCGCCACAACTGAGCCCGTGCACCTAGAGCCCGTGCTCCACAACAAGAAAAGCCACCGCAATGAGAAGCCCGTGCACCACAACGAAGGGTAGCCCCCGCTCACTGCAACTAGAGAAAAGCCTGCGTGCACGCAGCAACAAAGACCCAATGCAGCCAAAAATAAATAATTAATTTTTTTAATGTTAAAGAAAAAAAACGATATCCAGGGAACACGGTATGTACCTTGTAGAAAACTAAGCTTACAAATGTTGATTGTAAGTGTCAAAGTATAATAATGCAGTCCTAATTAAGTATAATATGCAGATTAATGTGAAGCCCCTCCCTGAAACAGGAAGAATGACACTGAATCTAAAAAACCAACGGGGCCTAAAAAAGGAGTACAGACGGAAAGGTAAAATTATCCAAGGAGCACACTAAGATATTCAAAGGAAAGGTTGAATGAGACGTGGGGTATGTTTAGAGAGAAATGCACTAACGCCCAGGCACAATGAGATAAGTCCACCTGCAACTTAAACGAGAGGTACACTGAAAAGCATGAGTGTATAGAGATGGGGAAAGGAAAGGACATACTGACAAGGTCTGGGTACACACTGATGTCATTTATGAAACACATTCCTACTGAATGTCCTTTTCTACTGCTGGAATACAAATAATTAAGAACAGATGGGGAGAAATGGAAAGCTTGCTATGAAAAATTAATATTAAAACTTTCCATTACATTTTTCTTCTTTTTTGTAAATTATTACAAAACTTACAAACTTGTGTTTGTAAGAAGAAAGAACAGTACAATAAACCCCTATGTACCATGACCCAGCTTCAGTAATTATCAATTCATGGCCAATCTCATTTCTTCCACCTTCCTACCACACTCCACTGGATCATTTCGACACAAGCTCCAAGTAGCATTTCATTTATAATGTTTCACTATGTCTCAATAAAACACAGAGGTTTTGTTTTTGTTTTTGTTTTTCTGGCCAGCTGCACGGCTTGCAAGATCTCAGTTCCCCAACCAGGGTTTGAATCCAGGTCATGGCAATGAAAGCCCAGAATCCTAACCACTAGGCCACCTGGGAACTCCCAAAACACAGAGATTTTTTTTAAAAAACATACTACCATTATCACACTTTTAAAAAAAGTAATACAGGGCTTCCCTGGTGGCGCAGTGGTTCAGAGTCCGCCTGCCGATGCAGGGGACACGGGTTCATGCCTCGGTCCGGGAAGATCCCACATGCCACGGAGCGGCTGGACCCGTGAGCCATGGCCGCTGAGCCTGTGCCCCGCAACGGGAGAGGCCACAACAGTGAGAGGCCCGCGTACCGCAAAAAAATAAAAATAGCGTGGGTTAGCCTTTACGCCCAAA